TCCTAATGAAGAAAAAGTCAAAACGCATAGACCAGAGACTGTACAACATAGTACCTGATAGAAATAAAAAATGGATATCAATCCCATACGTAGAAAAATTATCCCAGTCTATAACACAACTTGTAAAAAGTGAATATAACGTGACCTTCAACAACGACAAAAATCTAGGTGGCTTTCTCATAAATACTGGCAAAATAAATGAGAACCAAGACAGCTTAGAACAGAGTGGTATCTACAGAATAACATGTGAATGTGGCTCTCTATATATAGGACAAACGGGCAGAAGTATTAAAACAAGGACCAAAGAACATCTAAACCATGCCAAAAACAAGAAATACGGCCACTCATCTCTGTCTGACCATCTAATTGATTCAAAACATCCTCTTGAAAAATGTGAAGTAAAGGTGATGAGAAAATGCAAAAAGGGCAAAAAAATGAACGTTTGTGAACAACTCGAAATAGATAGATTTAAGACCAAAGCCATCCTTAATTCTCAGACAGAGAGTACCATAACAACAGTGATTACCCCTCCCACCTTGATGGACTACTACGTGATAACAGGGAGTGAGGAAGAATGCCAGGGTTATCAGTCTCGCCACAAACGCGAACGCGGACGCGGACATCGAACAACACGCGATCGCGAAAACGTACCGTAAAAAAAATTTTAGTTTTTATATTTTTTAAATCACCTGACGATGGGTGAAAACCCGAAACAGCTGTAGTGTACAATCGACAAGTCTTAGGAAAAATCGGTAAGAAAAAGTTTTACAAAAAAATTTCATAAAAAATACATTAACAGGGTTGCAACTTTGTTTGAGGACTCCAAAACTGAAAATGCAACAGCGCTGCTAATTTATTTGCTTCCTATCTTCGCATGGAGAGTTTGATCGGATATGAGGGTTGAATCTCAGGGTAACGTAAGATATCCCCTCCTTTACGGCCTTCATTTTGAGAACTTTCTTTGAGCTTTGCAGTTTGTTTTAGAGAAAATCGGCGGCGCCGTTGTGTTTCTCACGAAAGTTTACATTGAGCTCCATTCCAACTAATATGAGTAAAAAGTCTAGTGATGCCAATATAATCTCTCTACTCTTTTTCGGGAGATGTATGAGAGTAGAAATCCAATCGATATCCTGCTAGACGTCGAATCTGCAATGCTTAACATCTTAGAGACTAATCTTTGCGTCAAAAATTTTAAGACGTGAAAATTGACTCTTTTCAATTTTACAAAATATGAAAACCCCTCTTGATTAGAAGCAGCACTTCTCGCAAGTGAAAGCAACTTTATGCTGATGTGAGTAGAAATTTACTACTGATATCACAAGAATACATTGGTGATGTGAGTCAGAGTGGAATCCTTAAAATATAAGTAAGCTAAAAACCCGTAGGACAAAATGCAAAATGTTTAGCAAGGACTGCAGGGGTAGCAATGCTTCACGTGACTTCTGCTCGATCCTGATTCATATATTCAAAACATTTTATATACATACTATATTACTGAACTCAATTTTTTGCATTTTCAAACGGACGTACTTATGAAAAAATTACAGCCAAATTACCTTACACCCAAAAAGTATACAATACAAAAAATTTCAGAAACTAGACCATTTTAAGTGACTGATCGAACAAGCACTGGAAAAAAAACACATTAGATCTAGAGTCCAGACTCTTAAAAACATCGACGGGAAAAAATACTCTTGTTCAATCGGATTTTTGCTTAAATCAAGAACCAAGCCTCTTAATTTGAGCTGATTTCCTTTTGATTTAAGCAAGAATCTGATTGAATCAAGAGTATTTTTTCTTGTCAATGTTTTCAAGAGTCTGGACTCTAGATCCAATGTGTTTTTTATCCAGTGAGATGTTTTATTTTGAAATAGTGATTAAGTTTCCAAACGCGTTCAAATAACGATAAACGAGCCGTCAGTTTATACAAGTGACTTTGAAAGTGACGAATAGCCCTCCGGTCGATCCTGAGGTTCGATGATTTCGTAAACCGAAGAAAATAATTCATTAGCGCACATTATTTTTAGACTATTTTTTAATCTGATATAATCTCTGCCGCCAGAGCGAGCAGGAATGCCAAGGCAGCCTCCGGCACGGCCGGCGCGCGCGGTGCCGTTCAGAAGCTTCGCAGGCTTGAAAACCTTGACCAATAAAATCGTGCACACTAATGCGATTACTCCTCACAACTTTCTCAGGGAAAATTGCAGTACTCATGGGGATTTTTCTGTCGAACGGGAATAGACTTATTATATGTCGAATAATGACCTCAGGATTTGCGGAATAACTTGACATTTCGCGGGATCGTTCGACATTCGACAATCATGTCTCAGCATGAATCAATGATTCATTCGTGAACAATCTGGGCCTGTTGCACATATTTTTTATTGCTAATATCGAAAGAACTAAGGATCTTGATGTTACAGGTGTTTTCCCGGAGTTTTTTGACCACCGGGAACCCCCAACAAATCAACGAAAGACGCCCCAAAATTCGAATTTTCAGAATGGTCACTTTTACGGATCCGGTACACTCGTGACGTTACACATGACAAACCTTGTCTCTTCATCGTCAGGGTGTCTACTAAAACAGGCTGGTCAAAAATCAGTACTTTTACAGTGCTTATTCAGTACCTTCCCAAGAAATTCAGTGCCCCCTCGACAGAAAAATTCAGTACTTTTTCAGTACCTCCATTTGACGAAATTCGAAAAATGTCAAAAATTTGAATTTCTCGCTCAGAAATGAAAAAACTTCCGGACCTCCTTGCGGAATTTCCGCACTTTTTCGGTACTTCCGGACCGCCCTTAAGAAATCAGTACTATTTCCGGACCTGCAGACACACTAATCATTTACAATGTACCTCTCCGTTTCCATAAGGAATTTACAGCCGCTTGATGAAGAGACCACGTTTGTCATGTACTGTGATGTCACGAGTGTGCCGGATCCGTTCCGCGTAAAAGTGGCCATTTCAAATGGGTCGGTTCCTGAAACAGCTTTTGTTTCGGTTTGGGACGTGATTTCAAGATTTTTTAAAAGTGCCATCGTTCTTTTCGTGAAATTAGCCATTAAAATTAGGTATCAATTCGCAAATGCCCGTACCTTGCGACAGGCCCAATGGATTAAAAACTTAATTCACTGCAGTTTGTATTGCTTCAAACTGTTGGATTCTTTTACTGAAATAACATACTGGACCTCGAGGCAGGGTCAGTTACAGCACCACAAGACATATTTTCTCCTCATAATTTCATGGAAGACCGTGGACTACTAGGGGCCCGGGCTCCTTCCGGAAAATAAATTAGATTTCGCGCAAGAAGAGCGTAATACTCCTATCATATCTAAAAGTGTATTCCAATCAATTTTTCGGCGAGAGCAGCTCAAATATGATCCTGAAACGTCACAATTTCAAGAATCTTCCTGGAGAGGCTTCCAGGCCCCCCTTAGGAGCTGGTAGAATTTTCCCAAGCCCATCTTGATGAGGTGTATTTCGGTGCTGCACAGACTCCCCTTGATTAGGCAGATTTTTTGACTTTGAATGTTTTTCTACAATTTCCCATATCAGAAATAACGCAGCTCGTTATGCACTCTCAATTGCAGCAATACCATTTTTTTAAATGCAGATTCTCCATTAACGGGCAGCTTTTGAACCGTTGGTCAAAGAAGAGCTTTATTGGATGAACTTGGATGGTTGGTGGTGTGTCATGAGCTGGCAACAAGGAGGACAACTGAGACTTGCAGAGAGTGAGCGCGTGCGAGACTCGACTAAAAGTTGAGCCATCTCCAGCGGCGTCGCGTCGCGTCGTGTCTACGCCGCGGCAGTTAGGCACACTAATTACTCGCCCAGCGGATGCGATTCCATCTGTCATGTGCACCGTTACCTGTTGCCACTTGGATATAAAATTCCCGCAGGAGTCGGGGGTTTTCGATTTAACTAACTATTCCTCAGTAACCCAAGTAGCACAGATTGCGATAAATAGCAATTACATTGTAACAATATTGCAATTCCACTGAGTGTTGTGTATGTTGCCTATCTCCTATTTGAAGGGGCCCCGTTTATTGAAACGTATTGCAATAAAATTTAAATAAGTTGTAATTTTTCAATGCATTGCACGTTGCCTGTCTTTTTGACCCATGAAGCTCAATTTGTTGATTGTTTAAAATCAGCATTAATCGACTAAATGATGTAAAACTATTCCAATTTAAAAATCAAATTGCAATTTAATTTCAATATTTTCGTTGCACTGTGTTACTTGGGAAGAATTCGTTAGAATTGCGGAAGTTTTGTCTAAAATCATCCCTCCCAAGTAGCACAGTGCAACGAAAATATTGATATTAAATTGCAATTTGATTTCAACAAAATTGTAATTTTTTTACCATTGAATTGCAATGTTTTTGCATCATTTAGTCGATTTATGCCAATATTAATCAACAAAATTAGCTTCGTGTGTCAGATAGGTAAGCAATATGCAATGCAATGGAAAATTGCGACTTATTTCAATTTTACTGCAATAAGTTTCAATCAATGGGGCCCCTTCCAATAGGAGCCGTAGGCAACATACACAACACTCAGTGGAATTGCAATATTCTTTTACCATGCATTTGCTACTTATTGCAATCTGTGCTACCTACGAGGCTTACAAAACAATCCATAATGGACCAATAGACTTAATAATCGCCTTAGAGCTTGAAACTCTTTTTTTTTTTTTTCTCATTCCTAAGTTTCTTTTAGACGAACCTACATCGCCATTTAGTTTCTCTCTAAATTTTGAATTAGCTGCAGGAACCACATACTAATAAAAATTCGGTGATAGAAATCTAAGTTTAAAATCTGGCAACGCATAAAAGCTTTTTCATCAGTGCGGCACGGCACGGATGGCTGGGAAAGATCTTGCAGTGTTGCATTACATACCCATGTATAGTTACCGCGCTTTGGAGCTAACTTTTCTGCCGTGATAACGAAGAGAGCAGTAAGTGCATTTCTGTATGAGCCATGGTCAGCACATGCTTCTATGGGTCTCGAGATTCATCCCAGGCTGCACTTACTGCTCTCTTCACTAACACGGCAGTTTCATCGGAACTCTTGATAAGTTATAGTGAAATCTATACGGTAGAGTCAGGAACAAATAAAGACCCTCTGTTTGAATCTCAGCAATGGTGAGGACTTTTACTTTCAGAGATTCGACTTTTATCAATGAAGAGCAACCCTCACTTCAATTCTTTTTTGGCTAGTAAGCGAAACAGTGAGACTTATATTTGTCAAAGAAATTGCTCAACAACAGACCGAGTGGTATGATTTCAACAGCTGAATGATGGAGCCCCGAAAATTAAAGCTCAAGCCTGTCCCTGGAAATTTGACGGAAGGTCTCTGTTTGCCCCTAGTAAGATCATCTGAAAATCCGCCAAGATTAGTGCAGGTATTTGGATTTTCTTCGTAGGGCTTTAAGTATGTATGTACATGAGCAAGTCGCTATTACGGCGCGCTCTGCGACGCCTACCCGCCACAAGAATCTGCCATGGTAGAGATCCTCTGGAAGCTGGCATCTCTCCATGTATTGACGGATGCCCTCTACCCACCGTTTAGGGCTTTAAGTGCCCAGGGAATTGCAGATTTTGCGAGCAAATGCAGAGTCAATCGACTGGAAATATTGCTAAATCCGGTTGCGATACCAAAAATGTTGCTTGGAACACCTACGCGTGTAAGAGGTTTAAAAGTTGAATTATTATAATTGTATTAATTCATTTGATTGTTTCTTTATGTTATAGGTTTACCACCACTGCCTGTTCGGCACGAGGTACGACTTTTTGTGCGCAAACTACACGGCATTTGATCAAAAAACGTTCATCTGCCACTTTGTATCAGAAGTTGACTGTGATAATTCTCCAAAGTATTTTAAGAGGTAAGCTGTTTTTTCTGCTGATACAGAATACATAATGTAGCTAGGGAGAGGATTGTGGTCTTTGTCCTTACAAATCGAGATTTCATTGGGGAAACACCTATAAAAATGAACTTTAAGGCTCTCTCCTTGGGGAGAAGCGAGTCGCGTGCAAACTGAGAGATGTCCTTATAATCGTAAAGTATTTCCTTGCTTTCATGGGGAGTAACAAATTTCCATGATGGGAGTTTCACAAACCGTACCTCGAATTGCGATGTTGCATGTTCCTCACGCTATTTTTTATTCACATTTTAGGTCCCACAATTTGTTCTAAAGTGCAATCCCGATACTATTCTGTCTTCTTTTCTTTGCCTCCTTTGATATAATTTTTAAAAAAAATTCACACCAAATGTTGTGATCTGTGTTGATCTATTAAGAAATAAAATAGACAGTGCATTTAGATGCACTTCGATCAAGATACATGTGTCTCAAGTTCCACCATTAATTTTTTTCAAAGTGTTTAGCCTTGCCGGTCATCGGAGATAGGTTGCTGGAATCACATTTATTTTTGCACTGGCTGAACGTTCCTAAATCACGATAGAGGTATTCCTCGCATATGAAATTAGAAAAAAGGCAATTTCTCTTTCTCAGTTACAAAAGAAGAAAAATAGAACAGGTGCCAGCAGTTTGCTTAAGCCTCGTCGTCTGTTCAGGAACGCGATATGACAGTCCAGTGGTAGGATGGCGCCTTGATGCAACTATACATGCTCTCCGGATGTCTGTCTTGCATATACAAAAAACTGAAGGCGTTTTGATTTTTCTATGCGGCGCAATGCGGCGCGGCGCGCGGCATTTCCTTGCTTAGCGGTTTTTGGCGTGTCTAATGGAAGAATGAAACCCAGCCCTCTCTTGTCTCGGTTGAATTTTTAGGTGACTGGGTGCCTCTCTACTAAACTCGGTCCAGATAATGATAATTGAATTAATAAATAAATAATCAAGTGAACGTGCCGGAAAGGGAGGGGTGCATGAGACGCGTTTACTGGTGTTGAACACATTTTTTTAGGAAAGCCCTGTCAACACTACTAGCAAAAGTTCACGGAACTTTGCGCGAAAGTTAAGATTCGTAAACCTATCTCTGTGTGGACAAGGCCTTCCATTCATAAGAAATGAACGAAAAAATTATGAAAGAACAAACAAAAATGTGGATTAACTATATAGAAGTCTAATAGTAACTTCCGCCGCCGCGCCTCTCAGACCGCACTGTGTATGACGCAATGCGTGAATACTTCACGCAGTCTTGTAGGCGCTATGCGTCTCACGCTGATCGTACTGTGTTTGCCGCAGTGCGTGCGGTATTCATGCATTCTTGTAGGCGCTATCCGTTTCATGCTGTCCGCAATGACCGCACTGTATTTGATGCAATGTGTGAAGTATTCGTGCAGTCTTGTAGGCGCTAATATGTGTTACATGCCGATCGCCGCGCCGAGGGATTCTCCTTTTTATCTCAAGTCTTTGTCATCATTTCTCTCTAGGTTTACTAGGTTCTGGTTTTCTAGGAACTAGATTGCACAATCTCCCCAGCATTGGAAGTCTCATACGTCCTTTTACCGAAAAATGTCTCCATTTTATAATATTTTCTGCGCAAATGATGCAAAAATATCCTCTCTAAACCGTGATATAGTAATCTCTCACACTGGAAAAAAAAAACACATTGGATCTAGAGTTCAGACTCTTAAAAACATCGACAAGAAAAAATACTCTTGATTCAATCAGATTTAAGCTTTAATCAAGAACCAAGCCTCTTAATTTGAGCGGATTTCCTTTTGATTTAAGCTTAAATCTGATTGAATCAAGAGTCCTTTTTCTTGACAATGTTTTCAAGAGTCTGGACTCTATATCCAATGTGTTTTTTTTTCCATTGTAAGGCATATTTTACTGAATTTTTTAAATTATTCCCGTTTGACTAGCGCTTAACTGGTGATTTGATGTGTTGCAGAAACGAAGCTTTGTACAAACAAGACACGACTACGACTCCGCGACCGCCGCCGACAACGACGACCACAACAACGACAACGGAAGCCCCGAAGACGAAGAAGCCGCGACGACAGCGACCCAACAGGCGGCCTCGGCCCTACAAGAGACGCCGCCCCGTCTACGAGTACTACTACGAGGACGAAGAAGAACCAGCCGACTCGGAGTATTACGAAGAGGAGCCTGCCACCTCTTCGCGCGGACATGGAAACGGTAAATACCACCACGCAATATACTGCCCTCCTAAGGAGGAACACCGTATAAGGCTTAAGAAGTTGCCAAATTCCCTCTATTAGAATAGACTGGGGGAAACAAAACACATCCGATCTAGAGCCCAGACCCTTGAAAACATTGACAAGAAAAATTACTCTTGATTCAATCGGATTTTTGCTTGAGTCAAAACGAAATTCGCTTAAATTAAGAGGCTTGGTTCTTGATTTAAGCTAGATTCTGATTGAATCAAGAGTACCTTTTCTTGTCCATGTTTTTAAGAGTCTGCACTCTAGATCCAATGTGGTTTTTTTTCCAGTGTACGAATTTTCCGGGAAATCTATGAATGTTTTTCATTCAATTTTTTTGAAAATTCCATTCATAATCAGATCTAAACTGCATAAAAATTTCAAGGCAAAATATTCATGTCTCTTCTTAAAAATGGACATTTTATTGGAGGAAACTTAGCGACTCTCGAATCTTAGCAGAGCAGTACAGTGCGTACGTCAAAGTCATAGCAAAAAGCGAAGAAAATTCACAGAAAATTCTAAACGAACCTCTTTTTGCAACCTTTTTTGAATGATACGAAAAAGTGGACGTATTTAAATCGGAAGAAACTATCTCCATCGGGACCTGAGCCCTAGAATCCATGAGAAAACATGCATGGTGCGGCCCATGTCACAATGGAGATAGAGCCTCTTGATTTTGACACTTCCCATTTTCAAGTAAAATTTGCGGCATGGCAATGCAATTACGCTACTTTGCCTGTTGTTCCTTCGTTTTTTTTTTTATTTTCATGTCGATTTGGCATCATTTTCTCAAAAGCGTTTTTAGAGAGACTTTTAAACTACAAAAACTCGTATTTTGATCCGAAAAATCAAACAATAAAAATTATTGCCCATTAACCTAAAAACATCCTACACAGGAACGTGCTAAATGGGCTCACTGGCTTTTTCAGTGGAAAATGTATAAAATGCGGAAAGTATAATTAGGACCACATTTTGCGATCAGGAACTGCGATTTTCGGCTCAGTTCAAAACAACGCATGTACCACTAGTTTCTCTTCAGACATAAGTGTTTTCACGGATGAGCCAGAGATCGTAATTGCAAAATGTCTTTCAATTGGACTGCATTTTGCAATTTGGAACTATAAATTCTGGCTCATCTGGAAAGACACTTATCGTCGCTCCTCTGGCGTAAGGGCGTATCTCGATTTTTGGACATTTTGAGTTAGGCATGTATTCTTATGTAGTTTGAGCTGCTCTTTCGATCTAGCCTACTCTCAGGTCCGAATTCCCAATAGTTAATGACTTATGGCCATAAAACTGAAGGGCGTAACTCGCCATTGCCGAAAAAAGGACGCGACGTAAGGGCGTATCTCTGCAGACGCGGCGCTGCACCCCTACGACGAGCCGCTTCTCGGCATTGAGTATCTCATATGCCCGTCGTACAACGTGTCCGGTGACGGCGGGTTTTCAATTATATCTTAAGGAAACTTTTTGACTTGATATCATTACTATAACTTACATTTCTATAAAAGTATCAAATCACAGATCTCAAGCATGGAGTTCGCAATGCTGATTCAATTTATGCTAAGCTAGAACGTTCAAATTGAATTCGCATGTGCCGTCTACAGGCGAACGTCTGTTTCAGTGTGATACTT